CAAATAAATAAATAAAAGAGTCAGTCGGGATCAGGCTGAAAATGCATAACCTCAAACTAATCACACGGAAACATCTGACAAACACAAAATGAGGAACTTTCATCAAAAAGAACCAAAGGTGGGCGGTGGGGAGGGAAACCTGTATTCCTTCAAGATAGCAACGTCATAAAAAACAAAAGCCGTGCGGGCGCCTGGGGGGCTCAGTTGTAAAGCGTCTGCCTTCGGCTCAGGTCACGGTCCCAGGGTCCTGGGATCGAGCCCCGCATCGGGCTCCCTGCTCCGCGGGGAGCCTGCTTCTCCCTCTCCCACCCCCTCTGCTTGTGTTCCCTCTCTCGCTGTGTCTCTCTCTGTCAAATAAATAAATAAAATCTTAAAAAAAAAAAAAAAGCCGTGGAAATGTTTCAGATTAAAGGAAGTAAAAGACACCTGACAACTAATTGCAACACCTGACCCACGCCTGTTTCTCGAACGGGAGGAGGAAAACACCAGCAAGACCCTTATTATCTCCAGTGACAGCCTGGAATACAGATGGCGGCTTGGGTAAAAATATCGTATCAACGTCAACTTACCAAGTGGACAACGTTCCTGTGGTTATGCAAGAGAATATCCCTATTCTTAGAAAAGTGTTTAGGGGTAAAGAACCCAGATGCATGTCATGCACCCTCAGACAATTCAGGAAAAAAACATTATGTATGCATAGAGTGTGTAAATGATAAAGCAAATGAAACAAGATATTAGCAATCCACATAGGGTATGTAGATGTTCCTATTTTAATGCAGTATTTCTATTCTTCAAGTTTGTGAAGTCTGAAATTATTTCTAAATGGAAGGTTTAAAAGCTAAAATATTCATTTACGGGCACGCCTGGGTGGCTCCGTCGGTTAAGCATCCAACTCTTAGTTTCGGCTCTGGTCGTGATCTCGGGGTCGTGAGATGGAGCCCTGTGCTGGGTTCCACGCTGGGTGTGGTGCCTGCTTTAGATTCTCTCTCTCTCCCACTGCCTATGCCCCTCCCTACCCCCTCCCTCAATTAATTAATTAAAAGCTAAAATATTTAGCAGCAGAATGGGTTATTTCAAACAAAATCCCATGTGGAATTCCATGTGTCAAACAGGGACAGGCAGGGGTGTGGCCCAGCCTGTGTTGTGTCCCTATGGTGGCCCCAGGGGTACCTCTGGGAACCCAGCATGGAAACCGCTGAGTGGTGGGGAGGCAGCCGATCCCGCATGCTCACATGTTAGACACTCACACACATTTTGGTTGCATCTGATCCTCGAAACATCCCTGAGAGGCATTCCCAGGCCCATTTTGAGAAAACCAAGGTGGAGGAGATTCACACCTCCTGGGGGCCTCCACCGACCAGATGTTTTCTATGTGCTCTCGCACCTCCTGATGAGCAGGTCTTATCCCCATTTTACACACCTGCGGAGGCCCGTGAGATTCATGTCCAAGGCTACAGCACTGAAGCTGAGGTTCAAGCCCCGGTCTGTGAAGGAGCCCCAAGGCCCCTGCTCTTCTTGGCCAAAGCTGCTTCCTCACAGGTGAAGAAGTTGAGGCTCTGAGTTGGGCATCCCCAGCCTGCTCATGGCAGCAGTGAGATGGGAAGCCCTTGGACTCACAGTCCAGTGCTCCCCCAGCAGTGGGAGGGGAACACAGTGTCCCTTGATGAGACACCCATCTGTTCCCAGTGGGGAATCTTCCCACTGAGCCCTGGCCCCAGCCTGAATTTCTGGGCTGCCTTCTGAATCAGCAGAGAGAGTCCAGCCTCCCTCCCTCCTGCAAGGACAGGGAAACGGAGCCCCCTTGTTCATCTCTGTTCTTTCCTGGTCTTCGCTTGTGCACATCCGCTCTAGGACTGCCTTGCCTTCCTTTCCTCTCCCTCAAAATGAGCCATTCCCTCCCCTATTCCCTGCTTTCTGCTAAGTTTTTAATAAGTCAATTCACCATCAGCAAGAATCATGGTGTTTGAAGTCACTGCCAAGGGACTGGGTGTTTAAAAGAACTGCAGGGGCGCCTGGGTGGCTCAGTCGGTTAAGCATCTTGACTCCTGGTTTTGGTTTACGGTCCTGGGATCAAGCCCCGTGTTGGGCTCTGTGCTCAGTGTGGAGTCTGCTTGAGATTCTCTCTCCTTTTCCCTTTGCCCCTGCCCTCACTCACACACACAATCTCTATCCCTCTCTCTCTCAAACAAATAAATTAAAAAAAAAAAAAAAAAAGAATTGCATGAAGCCCAAGGCTTCTGAGTAAACTAGGACTTACTGAGAATGGAATTGTCCTTTTAGGCCCCAAACTGTCTCCGTGATAATGCCTCAGGGTCCGTGGAGCCCTTGGCCCGGCATGGCCCCAGAAGAAAAGATTCCCCCAGTTAGAAGTTCAGATAGGGAAGGTAAGTGTCCAGATTAAGTACCAGCCGCTGGGCTAGATGCAAATTTGCAGACTCAATTAAATCTCACAATAGCTCCATAAGGTGGGCATGGCTGTGCCCATTTAAGGGGGAAACTGAGGCTCCCCGCACCTAAGTAACCAGAATACAGTCACATAGCTGGGAAGGAAACCTGGATCTTTCCCTTCCACATCCCTCTGAGGTCCCCGGCCAGCCCGTTTGATGTCTCTCTGAGGCTGCTTGCAGCAAAGGGTCTCTCGGGGTTCTGTCTCTTGTCTGGCTCGATCTAGCTGCTCCCTCACTGCACTGTGCAGGACGTCCCGAGCTCCCCCCACCCAGCTGCTGCAGATCTGGCTTGCCTCTCGCTCTCAGAAGGTCTGGAAAGGTCCTGGCCAGCCCTTTGCCACACCACCATAGTGTCTTAACCTTGAGCTTCCCGCTGCTGCTGGGAGGCATGCCGGATGTTGCCCCAGGGCTCCACACCCCTGGGACTGAGTGTGTCGTAAGAGCTTGGGGTTCTGCAGGCTGCTTGAGGCCCCTCATCTTACTTTCTTAGGGGTTTTTAAGGAATATACTTGGCAGTGGAGTTCACATGCTGGACGGCTCTCTGGGGTCCAGATGGCATAAGACCCTAGGTCACAAAGCCTTACATCCGCCCCATGATAACGAAATCTCCACTTCCCCACCCCATCTCCCCTACAAGGCTCTCTCTCCCAATCCATTTCCAACATTCTGCTAAACGGTGATTGGGAAGTTCTAACTTAACATGGGATCTGCTTTCAGGGAACAATGCTCCTTCTAAGACTGCAATCGGATGCAGGTCAGCTTAACCCAAAAGAGTGACTCCAACCTGGAACTGTGGCCAGTACCAGGCCTGTGAGGGAGCTTTCCTGGGGGAGGGGGCCTTGCACCATCCCTCAATTGCTTTTTCCTGGCCTATGGTCAGACGGGCCTGCTCTTCTCCAGGTCAGATGGACAGAATCCCTTGCCTAAAACAGCCAGCATTGGTTGGGCCTGCCATGTACTTGCATTGAGGTTGACGTTTTACATACGTTGCTTCTAATACTCACAAGTGACTAGTATGGCTTCTGAACCATTAGGGGTCTGACTGTCCCCTTTGTAAACAGCTTCTTTAGGTGAGGAAACTGACCTTTAAGGGGTTAAGTAAATCATTCGAGGTCACACAGATAGTGATAGATCAGGAACTGAAACCCAAGTCTGTGTGGCAACAGACGTCACAATCCTTCCACTCTCCATTGCCATCGCTGCCATGTACAGTCACACAGGTTGCTCACCAAACAAGGGCATCCGGCGGAAGAGGTGATCGGGGCATGAAATCCAGCCACCATTCTGTTCACTAAGGTGTGCACCATGGGGCAGTCAGGCCTGTTCTTGTCTGCCTAGAGGAGCCCTGTGGTAAATGGATTATCAACGGTCCCAGTGATTCCCTTCCCTACATCGGTGCCCCTTGCGATGTTAATTCGCAGCTCTTCCCATCAAGCAAGGTTAGTTTCTTGCCCCTTGAATCTGGGCTGGTCTTGTGAGTAAAAACGCCAGTGAAATATGTCCGAGTGTCATTGTGCCAAGTCAAACCCAGGCCTGAGGAGGCCTTCCGGGCTTCACTTGCCCTCTTGGACCCCAACCATGGGTACAGGCCCAGGCTAACCTGCTGGAGAAAGAGAAACATGTGGCCCTGTAGCCCGCATTCCTGGCCAGTCAACTGCCAGGCAACCACCCAACATACGAGCAAGGCCCTCCTAGCCCAGCCTGCCTCCAAATAAGCCCCTCCGGCCGCGGCCCCGCGAGCCAGCCCAGGCAAGCTCAGGCGCAGACAAGCTCAGGCGTGCCTGCCCGGATCAGCATCACTGCCACACCTACAGGGGAGCAACAATAAATGCGGACAGATTTGACCGGAGCTGGAGTGGCTGTTACGCGTTGAAGTGTTTGCCTCTGAAATTCATAAGTTGAAGTCCGAACCCTCGGTGCCTGGGAATGTGACCTTATTTGGAAATAGGGTCATTGCAGATGTTATCAGTTAAGATGAGGTCATACTGAAGTAGGGAGGGGGTTCCTAATTCAATATACCTGATGGCCTCAAAAAATGGGGAAGTTTGGACACAGACACACACAGGGAGAATGCCCTGGTGTTGCCACAAGCCAAGGAACTCCCAGAAGCTGGGAGAGAGGCCTTCCCTCGAGCCGTCTGAGGGATTATGACCCTGTGACACCTTGATCTCCCACTTCCAGCCTCCAGAAGTGTCAGACTATCGATGTGTGTTGTTCCAAACACCTGCTTTGGGGTACTTTATTACACCAGCCCTCAGACACTAATAGAGAACCTTCTCCGAATCAACACGACCGCGCAATGTGCTTGGCCTTCCTCCAGTGTGGAAGCTAATCACGGCCCTTCACCTGATCCCCAGGTAACCCCAGAGAGGTGCGCAGGAATTCCACCCCACCATGCCCCGTCCTGCCCCAACAGGCCTCGGAACCTGGAAAGCCTTCTCTAGTGCCTTCCAGGGGCTCCGGAGTCCTTGCTGGGGAGGGGTCACAGGCCCATTCGATATTGCTGTTCCTAGAGAGAGCCCCTAGCCCAGCCTCCTCCGGCTGCCCGCCTACCTGGGTTGCCGAGGGCCATGGAGTCGTAGATGAGCTTACAGGTCTTGAGCAGGATGGCGATCTTCTTCTCGGGCGAGTAGGCCTTGTGCATGCTGGTGAACTTCTGCAGGATCTTCTCCATGACGGGCACCTCCGGCACGCTGGTAGTCACACCCAGGTCCGTGGTGGTGGTGGCCAGGATCACCAGCTGGTTCTCCTTGAGCTGCTGCAGCGAGCCATCCTTGCTGTGGATCTCATGCAGGCATGAATTGATGGCTTCTTTCAAGGGCTTTAACACACACTTGTACAAGGCCGACTCCACAATGGCTTCTGTAGGGCGGCAAGAGTGGGAGGGTGAGGAACCCAGGCACCCAGCTTCGGTGTCCAACAGTGTGGTTGTCCCCATCTCCCGGTCCCCGGAAGGATATACTCAGTGCCCCAGTAGCTACACCTCGTAGTTCTGACACAGGAGGCCCTGCAGTACATTCAGCAGAAAGCAACGCACAAAGACACGGGTACAGGAGCCCTCTGGGACTGAAACATTGCGTCCTAATGCTTTTCACAGGGCCTGGAACTGATGAAAGCCTCACAGGGCTGCCTACCAATGCATAACTTCAAAGGGCACTATTTACATGGTGTTTGTGCAGTATACAACCTGCACAGTTGTACATGCAGGGCCCGGGTGCCCAGTAAATGTTTGGTAGAATGATTCTTGATGTCTCTCTCTGAATTCTCAAATCCACTTGCCTCGAGGCTCAAGAATACAGTATATCCACAATCTGCCTTCTCACCACTTCCACGGCCACCACCTTGACCTGGGCTGCCATCATCTTTTCCTTGAGTTATATGAGAGGTCTCTTGCCCTGGCCCCTTTTCATCTATTCTCAGCACCCCAACCAGCATAATCCTGTTATGGCATGTTTGACCATGACATTCATAATCCAATGTGCCCAGAATTCTCCAGTGGCTCCCATCTCATGCACAGTAGAAGCCAGAGTCTTCCCCATGGCTTATAAGGCCCCCCCTTGTAGTCTGTTTTCACTTATCACCTTGCCTGCTCCCCTGTGTTCATGCTGCTCCAGCCACCCTGGCCTCCTTGCTGCTCTGTTCCTGCCGCAGGGCCTTTGCACCTGCTATTCCCGTTGCCTGGAGAAGTCACTCCACAGCTATATACATGACCTCTTCCTTCGTTGTTCAGATGTCATCTTATCTGAGAGGCATCCCGATCGGCTAGTGGAACGGGATTTAGTCGGCTTCAATCACACGGCAACTCTGCAACCCACATGCCATTATCCCCACTTTACAGATGGACTAACTCAGGTGTGGGCCTCAGCTAGGTGGGCATGAACAAGAATGTGAACCCATGTCTACCTGACACCATGGTGATACTTGTCCACTTTGGTTGACAGTAGGGAAATGTTCTTGGGAAGTTTTTTTGGCTCTATTCCATCCCCAGGGCAGGGCACAAGTGCTGTCCCTATAGGGACACCTGAGCTGCCCTATCCCTGGGGGGGTAAGGGGGGGCCCATGCTCCCGTGGTTGAGTCTCAGTAGAGATCCAGATAACGTTCCCCTGCCACGCAGGCCTGGGCTTGGCCCACGTCCGGGTTTGGTGCCGGCCCTCCCTGTCCCAGGTCCTCATCCTACCGCCTCCTTCTTCCCCTTGGTTTCTCCAGCCTCTGCAACAGGAGGACATGTGGATGCCCTCGTCTGCCTCAGCCCACCCCCACCCATCCTTCCAGGCCCATAGCCTGACCCCACTGCCCTCAGAGCCTCTGCAGCGAGAGGTGCGGCGACCCGAAGGCAGGGACTCGTGGTTAGTGTCCCCAGTGCCTCTGGCTCCGTGACCTTGGCCAAGTCCTTCCCCCTGACAGGTCCTGTTTCCTCATCTCCAAAGGGAGGGGGCTGCAGCCTGTGCCCTCCGGGGGGCCTGCATCTCTGAGAGCCCCAGGAGCTGCAGAGACCGCTCCGGCCCTCCGCAACCACGCACGGTGGTTGGTATTTCTTTTACCTCTAATTGCTCCCTGCGAAGTGTCTCCCTAATGGAATCAGTAGCATCCTGGGCAGGAGGGGTCGGGGAGGTCCAGCCGGCCTCGCCTGGGGTTGAGGTTCCTCCACCATCTAACTGGCCCAGGGACGAACTTGGAAGTAAGTGGCCGCACAGCAGAGGGGTTCAGTTCGTGGGAAAGGGGGATTTCCACTTCTGGAAATCACCCCTCCCTCCTGCCCACTCCCAGCCCCTCCCCCCTCCCCCCCGGGCCCCAGACTGACCCAGCTCGTCCTCGGTGTGCAGGGCAGGGTCCACCAGGGCCTTGAGCTCGGTGCTCTGCAGCAGGTAGCTCTTGAGCTGGGTCATCATGGTGCGGATCTCCTGCAGCATCTCTGTGCTGGAGGTCTGGCGCACCATCATCTCCAAACTGTACACCTTGTAGTCCTGCACCAGGTTGCCGAAGTACGAGGCCTTGTCCTGCGCCAGTTCCACCACCCTCTTGGACAGCTTGCGGTTGTTGGAGAGGAGCGCGTGGAAGACATTGGTGAAGCTCACGAAGCTCAGACGGTGGCGCGCCTTGCCCAGGATCACCGAGGACTTCTTCTTCCCCCCAGGGCCGCTCAGCTGTTCCAGCTCCTCTTCTGTGCTGCTGGTTGAGTAGGAGTCCTGGTCTGTGGCCGAGGCGGGCACTCCCAAGCTGTCCGAGAGGGAGGCCAGGGAGCCCTTGAACTCTGCCGTGCTCTGGGGCCGGGTGCTGGACGGGGCGTGCGGGCTCTGGGGCCTGGCTTGGGAGGCAGGGCTCTGGCCTTCTCTGGGTGGACCGGGCGTGGGTTTCTCGGGGGCTCCCTCCTTCGTGGACGACTCGGTGCTCTCCAAGGGGCTTGGAAGGCCTGAGGCCAGCTGTTGGGAGATCCGTTTCCTCCTGGGGGGCGGGATTGGGGGTTGTCGGATCTTCCTCGGCGGCTCTGGCAGGCTGCCCGGCTCACTGGCTTTGGCCGCTGCTTCCTGACCTTGTTCTGTTGTCCTCTGAGGCCTGTCCCCAGGACTGTCTGAGGTCCCCTGGGGAGGCAGGCTGAGCGGGGATGCCCTGGAAAGACCTAGCTGGTCCCCCTCTGCGGCCATCCCCCTGTCCACTTTCCCTGCGCTCTGGTCCTCCAGGGAGACCTTCTCAGAGATGCGGCGTCTGGGAGGAGCAGCAGGGAAGTTCTTCTTCCCTGGGACTGGAGGGGCAGGGGTCTGTGGCAAGGGGCCAGGAAATGCCCCTGACTTCATCTCTTCCTCCCTGAGGGGGCCCAGGCCTGTGGGCTGTGAAAGCCTCTCACAGGCTGCCATGGGTGGCTGGCTTGGATGGTCGGGGGGGCCTGGGGCATGGGGTGCTAGACGGGGGGCGGACACCGGGGGTGTGGGAGGAAGGACCTCTGGAGGCAGGGGAGCAGCCACTGGGCGGGTACTGGGCAAAGGACAGGCCAGAACAGGAGAGGGGGGTGGAGGAGGCCGGAGCGGGCCAGAGGGTTGGAGCAGGGGTGCCGGGGGAGGGGGTGCTGGGCGGCGAGGGGCCCACTTGGAGGTGGGTGAGGTAGCAAAGGAGGTGGGAGGCAGCAGGCGCGAGGGGCAGCTTCCAGGGGGTGGCTGGTCGGCAGGCAGTGCACTGCCGCCACAGTCCTCGATGAAAATTGGATTCACAAACCACAGGCGGTCATTTCCTATGGACAGCTCAATTTCACACGAGCAGTTCTCGTAATGGGCGCTGGACCTGAGGCTGGAGGCTGGGGGTGCTCCCGGGGCTGGGTCTCTTGGGGGCTCCGTGGGGCTCCCACCACCTCGCCGGGGGTTCAGTGAGGAGTCCCAGAAGCCTGTAGAGACAAGAGAGGAAGAGGCTGATCAGTCCCCAAACCAGGTTCCCTGCTGCCTGCCCGGCAGGGTGGGGGGGGTGGGGGTGGGGCTGGTGATTGTGGGAGGGGTGGGGGCAGGGCTGTGACCAGCGTTTGCTTCACTGCTCTGAGGGTTATTTCCCCTCTCAGGCTGCTTTAAACCTCTCCCACCACTTCCTGCCTGGAGAGGGGAAGCCCCGTTTGATCGTCTGGGGCTCTGCGGGGGTGGGGCTGGGACCCGTGGTGACAGGGTCAGCTCTAGCTCTGCCCCTTGGCACATGAGAGCTCATCAGAAGGGCACCGATGGCTTGGGGGGGCTGGCAGTCACGTGTTGGGGGGACAGAAGGCAAGGGGTTCTGCAGCTGATCGGCTGGGTGCCCTGGGGCAGGTGACTTGACCTTTCCAGGCCTCCGTCTCTGGTCATCTCTAGAATGGGGATCCCCACAGGGAAAGGTGCTTTGGACCTGTTTTGGCCACCACGGTGGCTGTGTGGGGGAGGAACGAAGTATGCATGTGGCCGGTGAGCTCAGACCTGACCATCCAAATGGGGAACACCAGCCCCACTGCAGAATGCCCTGGACTGTCAATCTCTATGTTAAAACAGGCAAATGTCCCATGCCTCCCGTGTGTGTGTGTGTGTGTGTGTGTGTGTGTGGTAAAGGGGGGTGGGTCAGAAAGTGGGGTAGGAGGACCCTGCACTGTTGGCTCTCGGTTCTAGCACAGACCTTTCTCCTGACCCATCCCTCACAGAGAGCCCACGGCTGTGGCCACCAATGCAGGCCTGTCCCTCTCCAGACAAGCTTGGTCAGTGCCAGGCTTGTTCTGGGTAAGGGCCATGGGACATTCCAGCTGAAAGGGCACAGGTCGTTGGCTAGCTCAGGAATTCTTGAGCTCCTGACCTCTGGGTACCAAGTACTATTGAGGAGCTGATGGCAGCTCAGGATCCTCCAAAAAGGGCGAAAAGTTTTTGCGAATCATTTCTTTTTTCTTTTTCTTTTTTAAAGATTGTATTTATTTATTTGACAGAGAGAGAGATCACAAGTAGGCAGAGTGGTTGGCAGAGGGAGAGGGAGAAGCAGGCTCCCTGCCGTGCAAGGAGCCCGATGCAGGACTCGATCCCAGGACCCTGGGATCATGACCTGAGCCGAAGGCAGATGCTTAATCGACTGAGCCACCCAGGCGCCCTTGTGAATCATTTTAGATGGTGTATAGGCCACCCTGGGCTCACTCCAGCAGTTCCTCCTAGAGAGCAGCAGGGACACCAGTCTCCTCAGCTTGTTAATTTTAGAGACTGATAGTGCAGGGTCCCTTGTTAACCATGGGGCCAGGCCTCCAGCCTCTCATCCTGAGCTCCTTACTTCTGGGAGGGATTCGCCACTAAGAAAACTGCCAAAAATAATGTCAGGAACAAACACGCATTGGATTCTGACTGTGTGGGCAACTTGCTTTACATGGGTCATCTCATCGACCCCTGACCACAGGCCTTTGGTGTAAATCCTAGTATTGTCCCCAGAGGACATGAAGATTAGAGACCCAGACAGATTAAACAACCTGCCCAAGGTCACAGGTTGGCGAGTGGAGGAACCGGGATTTGAACCCGGTTCTAAAACCTGTGTGCTCAGCCCCCAGGTTCTGTGTCTTCCTTCATAGGAACTTGCAACACTTCCCATCCGAGTTGCTTTCCCAGGGTCGGAGTGACAGCGTGGTGTGCGCCCCAGAACTGGGGATGTTGTAAGAACACCATAGGCTCTAGACGTTGAAAGAAAGGGAACATCACAAGATGGTCGACCCCCAGAGATGGGGGCCTTTTCCACCTTGCTGGCCAGGGGTGGCAACTTCAGTCACGGGGAGCGGGGTGTAATCCAGGACGACGGGGCTGCTGGGACACTGACTGAAAGTGAGTGTGTGCATCCCCTCCCCCACTCCGCAGTGTGTGCCCCTCCAGGGAAGGAGAGTGGGGCCACCGTTCAGCCCTGTCCTGGGCAGAGCCCCTGTGTGGGGCAGCCTGGGGCAGCTGGCCAGTTGTTTCCATAGTAACAAGGATGACAAACTTTCACGTGAACTGTTCCAAATTCGCAAAGCTCTGCGTGCCTCACAGCCCCTGCTTGTGGACGTGCAGAGCCTGGCGTGGGAGGGGAGCCTCTGGGCTCTCTCACGTCCAGAGCAGACTGTTTTTCAGATTGTCCGGGCCCTGCACTTTGCTCTCTGGGGCAGCTACTGACCTCTCCATGACTGATCCACTCTCCCAGGTGCTTCACACCAAGCACACAGATGTTCTGGGCCCAAGGAGTAAGCACCTGAAGCACCATCTGCCCTGTCTACACAGGACCAGTACCAAGTTGTCTCCTTGGAAGTATTCCCAGCAAGGAGAAGCCAGTCTGACTCAAAGGTGGACTGGCAGCAGCCCCATGTGTGAGCCGAGGCCCCTGATGCTCATCTCCAAGTTCTCTTAAAACCTTCTTTAGGGTAAAGATGAAGTCATGGGGCAGATGATGAGAGGAACTGCCCACCTACGCCTGGACATTCTCATTGCTCACTTAGACCCTGGCCTTAGCCTGCCCACACCCCCATCCAGTCTCCTCCTCGTGATGCTGCGCACAGAGTAGACCCTTGGTTGCTCTTTGTTCAGAGTCAAATCACTGCCAACCTTTTAGCCTGGCATTCGAGGCCTGTGGGATCTGGTCCTGCACATCTTTTCCAGCTTCACCTACTGAGTAGTTACCTACTCATTCCTTCCTGAACATGTCATGGGGCTGTCCCACCTTAAGGTCTTGGCTAATGCTGTTCCCTCTGCTTAGACTCCTTTTCCTACCCTCTCGACCTGGCAAACTCTTACTATCTCTCACAACCCAGGTCAAATGTTACCGTTTGGTGGAGCCTTGCTGACACATTCAGACCTCCCGTATACTCCTCTGAGTTCCCCCAGCTCTGGGGCACACCCTGACCCACGTGACTAGCCCTGGGACTGGAATTCTTGGGTTTTGTCTGACTCCCTCCCACCCCTTCCAGGCTGTGAGCTTCCATAAGGCACAACAATGCTTCATTCATCTAAGTATTTGCAGAACCTAAGGCATTCTGGCCCAGAGCAGGAGCTCAGCCCCTTGGCTCACACGAGTGCATGAGCTTCACCAGAGTGGACAGTCAGGTGGAGTTCTGAGCAGGGACACTTAGGCAAGGGTCATTTTGATGGTAACGTGGGTATGACCTGAACCAGGGAAGGATGGCTACAGGCAAGAAGAGACAAAAAAATGGGAGGAGGAGGGCAAAAAGAGGGCCGAGGAGCTCCAGCCAGCCCCACAGCCTGCCTCAGGATAGCAAGGTGGGGCCATCATGTACAGAAAAGAAAAAGAACACGTTTTCCATCGCTTGCATGTGGCTTCTGGCAGGACCAGCACAAACAATGGGGTTCAGAGCAATGGCCCGGGGCCTGGGTGACTAGGAACTGCTCCCCGGCCCCTAAGATAAGCCTGGTGGTTATGTTCTGGCAGGCACAGCCTCAAAGCCAATGCCACTCTGAGGGGTGGGGGAAGCTGGGACCGAGGAGCTGCATCCTAGGATCTGGGGACCTGTCAGGGAACCACAGTGGCAGTGCGGGCCTTTATGCTTAAAAAAAAAAAGGGGGAAGTAGGTAACTTTCTCTGCAGCCTGCAGTATGCCAAGGCCAGGGGAGAAGCGGAACCCAGTCATGCAATGCTAGTGGTTGGCAAAGCGGGGGACGCCCGGGCCCACGGGCATCACGCCAAGCCTCGGCTCAGCTGCCGGAGACGCCCAGAGCAGCCGTGTCTTCCCTGCCTCTGCGCTGTCCCCAGACCGAGGCGGACGTGTCACTGGCCCGGCAGCGTCCTGCAACTCGGCCGGGGATGCCTCTTGCCGGGTGTCCGCTCCTACAATCCTTGAGGGCCAGGGCCGGGCCAGGTACTAGACTGTGGGCTCGGAGGGCCAAGGTGATGAAGGTTTCACGCTTGGGGAGCCCCGGGTTAGCGGAAGGGACAGAGAGGGGATGAGTAAATGCAGCCAAGTATTCCAGATGCCATGGAAACAGCTTGAAAGTCCAATGAGTTTAGTGAACATGTATTTTTGTGGCATCCCAAGGACGGGCAGTTGGACCCTTGAGTTGTCATTCACACTTGGGTTGTCGGTGGGTGTTTAATAACTAGGAAAATTCTCATTGTAGAATGTAAAGGAAAAAGCAAATTCCATGCAAACTGGCTACAGCTGCAGAACAGGTGCTTTCTCCAAACATGTTTTAAACATATTAAGCGTATATATACCTCCAATGCATCTGAGACCCTCTGCAAATCTAACCCTTATTTACCATCGCTTTCTCTACGTTCCTCTTGCACTTAGAATCAACTAACTGCATGTAATTTCGTGCTGGATTGCTCCCTGTGTTAGTTTTATGGCCCCAAGATGATACCTCTATAGAGTGCCCCCTGGAACACTGGCTCCCCAGGGCCAAATCTGGACCTTCTGAGGTCCGCTCATGAGCCATGAGCAACCCCTCTGGGTTATCACATGGTGCTAACCCTGCAAAGAAATATCTCTGTTTCAGCAACATCATCCCTGCCCGAGCACCCAGGCTTTGCAATGATTTGGATATTTATTACATTCTGCTCGTTTTGTAAAAAGTGAGTAGAATGCCAGAAAAAGTAAATTGCAGACACTACTGATAGACACATAAGCTTCACAACTTATTCCAAGGGCAAGGTCAGCGGGTGGGGTGGGGCTGGCTTTAGAGCCGGGAGGGTGGGGGCGGAGGGGAGCGGGGCCGGCAGTGGGGGGGGCGGGCGGCCGTTGCTACCCACAAAGCCCGGCTGACCTTTTGCCCTGTTTCTTGGAGATTCCCCAGTGTCCCTTCACGAAGTCCCCTTTTATCTATGCTAGTTCGAGGGGGTTTCAGTTCTTTGTCAGGAGAACGCCTCGTCTGGAACAATGAGAGATGCGCAGGGCACAATGCCTAGTGTGTTCGGGGACCCTGGGCATATTTTCTTTGCCTTTGCGTATTTCCTATCAGTGCTATAGGTGAAGGTCAGTCCAGGGACACCTGCCTGTAGTATAATCCCTCCCAGTTTTTTTTTTCTTTTTGTTATGCAAGTGACTTAAGCTTTGATGGAAGAGGCATCCTTCATTATCTTGAATAAACATGTTGCTAGTCCCAAGACTAGATTACGGCAGGCTGCCTTCCTCCACCAAAGCTCCTCTGCTTTAGAGATCTTGGTAGGTTTAGATTAACTGACCATTTGGGCCACTTGTTGTTGTTGTTGTTGTTGTTTTCCTCTCTTCCGGCATATTAAATTCCCCTCCCTTGTTTTCAGTTCACCAACTGAGAGTGAGCCTCCGAAACCCTAGGTCCCCACTGTCAGCCCCAATAAAAGCAGAACCCCAGGCCCGCACGATGAGGGAGCAGAAAGCAGCTGAGGACAAAACACAAGCTGACACCCTGCAACCCCCTCCCACCCCTGCACTCCCAGGTGGGATACGTGAGACAATCCTCAGGCCCTCCCAGCTGCCCTAAGACTAAGGGAAGGGAGAAACAAATGGTTCACGGGTCGAGATCACAGTCCTGCAGGACAGGAGTCTCCCTCAGTTTACCAATGCCTTACTGATTTACAAGGAAAATGCATTCCTATCAGTAGCCTAACTTCCAGAGACCCATAGACTCAATTTCCTGGAGCCCTAACCTCCCTCTCCCTTCCATGAGTGATGTGGGAAACTGAGGCAGAAGGGAAAGGAAACAAAATTAATTTCTTTATGACCTGCAGCCCACTGCCTGAGATAGGCAGAGCGTGACATGCCTCCTGGAAACTCCCAACTGTTTAATGTTAGTTCCTTACTAGAAGGAAAAACCACGTTAGCTTGACAATAGCCGGGCCCCCAGGATCCTGAGAGTCTACTTTAGCATATGAAAATCCTTTGGGACGCCTCCCTGTGTCCTGACCTCCCCCAACTCTCAAGTATATGATTAGTCACTCCTCATATCCCCAGTGCGGCAGCCCCTTCTGCCCAAGGATCCTGTCCCCGTGCTTTAATAAAACCACTTTTTTGCACCAAAGGCGTCTCAAGAATTCTGTCTTGGCCGACGGCTCTGGATCTCACCCACATTCCAGAACTATACTTGCGCTTTCTCCCCGCGACCTTACCGTGAGGCCCCAGGGGGGCTGTGTAGTTTCCAGGTCGTGTGAGCAATAAAACTTTATTTTTTCAAAGTCTCCTGACGCTTGTTGCAAACGTAGGCCATCTTGCAAACGTCATAAGAACCACGAGGGCCAGTCCAACCACAACATCGGGCATTGATGGGCTGAGACCAGCACACAACACTGCCTGAACCCCATGGCGGGGCCAAGGGCTGAGGCAAACAGACCCCTCCCGTCAGAAGTAAACCTCCCCAGACCCCTTCCCAGACGGAGCCCATGCATCTCAAGTTCCCGGCTGACTTGGCTTCAAACTGGCCCCTGACCTCTGCAAAACAACAGAGAAGGTTGTGAGGTGTAGCCGAGGGGCAGCGGGGAGGCCCTGCTTGGTGTCAGAAAGCCCTCGGCGCAGATCTGGCCCACCCTGGACACGCTTCTCAGCTGTGCTCAGACGTGATTTTGTATATTGAAAATGGGGACACGAGGATGACACAAAGACAATGCCAAGCAAGTACGAAGCACCAAAAGTATCATTATGCCACTTTAGACCTCAGGGGAGAGGTCACTGGGGCTGCGTGAGTTACTAACCCATCCCTCATCCCATATCCAGTTCACAGTCATGTTCCTGTTGCTTTTCCTTCTGACGAGGGTGGGACTGGAGCCAGGGCTGGGGTCGTGCTGGTGCCCGGCTCTGGTCAGCGGACAAAGACCTGGGGGTTCCGCTCAGCCTTTCCCAGAGCCTCGGCCCTGCATTAGGTCAGCCTGTGCTGGCCCTGACCGGCCCCCGGTTCCTCCAGACCCCTCGAGGCTGTGCGTCAGACCTTCTGGGTGGCTGTAAAACGTGCCCCTTTGAAAACTGGGAGCATCTCCGGGCTACAGGGGCTCGGCAGCCTGGGGAGGGAGACGGTGGTCCCGCAGGAGCTGGGACTCAGCCCGAGGGGCTGCCCCTGCTGGTCAGCAGTCCTGAGGCCCCACGTCCTAAAGCCCTGGCCCCTCCCCTGAATCTCGGAGGGGACTTACCCAGGCCCAGGTTGGAGATGGTCTCGAGGTCTGTGAAGCTGCTGGCCTCAAGGATGGCCTGGGGCAGCCTTAGCGTGAAGGGCAGCAAATCTCTGTGGAGACAGCAAAGGCCGGAGGTCATGTCGGGGAGAGGGACCCGTGTGTCCATTCCCTGGCCCCTGCAATCCTGCTGGCTGCTGGGGTCTCCAGGCAGACTGGAAACTTCTCTGGGGCTGAGGGGCTGAGCCCTGTGGCTGAGGGAGCAACCAGTCAGATCTAGTTCTGGGCCAGCACTGAGGGACCCACAGAAATGGGAGACTCTTCTCCCTGGCCCCTGGTTTTCCTGGCCCTCGGGAAGCCTAGGTAGCTACCCTAGGTAGCTTCCTCTAAAGGTGCCATTCTGGGTAGAGGGCCCTTCCTGCCTGCTCCACATTGCTACTCCACACTGAGCCGGGCAGGGAGTGCACCGTCAGACTTCCCGGACAAGCACACAGTCAGACTTCCCCAGGGAAGGCTACCAGTCGGCCCTTCCAGGCTGGTCAGGCCCAGACCCAGACTGCGCCCTCAGCACTCATCCCACCTCAGGCCACCACTACCTCAATCTCTAACTTTGCAGGATGGTATGATTTAGTCCCGTGTTGCCTCAGTTTACCTGGTTGGCTGTCTGGCCTGCCGGCTGGGTTTCCAGTGGCTCCTGGGTCTCTGTGTATGTTGCCATGGGCAGTAGGGTCACTCAGCTCCTCTGCTGCCCACCCCTAGCCACCAGGACCATCCCCCACACCCCCTCCGCCACCTGCTCCGTGCGCTGGTCAAGACGCTGCTGCAGGGCTGGCTGGGGACTGGTTCCGGCCGGGACTGCTGTATCCAGCGCCTTCCCGGGCCTGGCCCCTGCTCTGCCTCTCCCGCCAGCTCCTCCCTTCTGCCCCCTTAGACCCTTCCCTTGCCCTCAGGGGCCTCCCGGCTGCCTCCCCAGACAGCATGCTCATTTTCCTATAGTGCGTGTGCCTTGCTCATTCCCACCTCGGACGGAGCTCATCCCTTCTGACGACATCTACTTAGATTCTACAGAGCCTTTGAGGCTGCACCAGGGACCTCCTCCTTCTCCATGACCCAGTTATGTTCAAGGATTTCATCTGTCCCTGCTCCCTGCCGCATCATCCAATTCACCACTTCATCCAGGGGCCGCCTCTTCCGATCCAAGGGAAAGTACCCACAGGAGGGGGTGTTTGCTGGGCAACCAGTATGTGCCCAGGTACTGGGCTGGGTGTTTGCAGGCCTTATGTCACATTTTTAAAGCTTTATTTATTTTAGGCGGGGAGGGGCAGAGGGAGAAGCAGACTGCTGAGCAGGGAGCCCCAACTCGGGGCTCGATCCCAGGACCCTGAGATCATAATCTGAACTGAAATCCAGAGTTGGACACTCAACCGACTGCGCCACCCAAGCACCCTGATATACAGTAATCAGCTATTACTATATCGCAACAACCCTATCGGTAGGCATCAATACCTTTGTATCACTTAATTAATTCCGGATCAGAATCCCATGGGGGAGCTGCTAAAAATGCAGATCCCCAGAACTATGCACGTAGGTTCCCAGGGTTGGGTCTGGGGGTGGGCCAGGAATCCATATTTTTCACCAGCTCTCAGGGGGATCCTGATGGACACAGCCTGGGATGGGAATCACAGCCCCGAAAGCAAGGGCTATCGATAACAATAAAAATTAAGGATCTCTCCAGGTGTGTGTGTGCGTGTGTGTATTCTCATATTTATATTCTCATATACATACATACATATATATTCTCATGAATATGAGAATATATATAATATATTCTCATTCTTCTATTTTTCTTATGTTATGGACAATTAAGTCCATTAAAAAACATTCACAAAAACAGAAATTTGTAAAATGGAATATTGCTCCAATGGAATAAGAATGAATGCTCTAACATTTGCCCCCCCACATGCTGGTGAGTGGGCTTGTGTACCTCCCGGGGTGGGAGATGCCCCTCCCTAGAGGCCTCTGTTCTAGCCAGTGTTTTTCGAACCTTTTTGACCATGACTGCCAGTAAGAAACACATACATACTCTCTCACACACACTCATACACATAACTAAAGCAAGAGTTTAGCAAAACAAGACTTATTCCACAAAACAAGACTTATTCCAAGTTACATGAGACACATTCTGATATTTACCAGTTTAATAAAAATTTTCATTTAAAAGGAAAGCAGTCATGGGGCGCCTGCATGGCTCAGTCGGTTAAGCATCCCACTCTTGGTTTCGGCTCAGGTCCTGATCTCATGGGTCGTGAGATTGAGCCCCGTGTTGGGCTCCGTGCTCAGTGTGGCGTCTGCTTGGGTATTCTCTCCCTCTGCCCCTTCCCCTCTGTGTAAGCTTGCTCTCGCTCCCACCCCCCTCAAATAAATAAATAAAATCTTAAAAAAAAAAAAGGAGCGCCATCATGATCCATTAGACTGACGTTATGACCCCCTCCAGGGTGTTTTCTAACACTAACCGTCAATTCTCCGATTCTCCGCACACCAACAGGGTGTCCCACAAGTTCATTCAGTTCTGGTGCTACCTACCTAGAGTGAGTGCAGACCCCACAGGCTCGGGACTCCGTCCCCCCTTCAGATGCCTGCTGCAAGTCCCAGCCCACCCCTACTTCCCCCACGGACCCCTCCTCACATTTAACTGTTTGCCAGAATGGTGCACAAAACTCAGGGGAACACCTTCCTTACATCTACCGGTTTATTATAAAGGACACGCCTCAGGAGTCAGTGTGAAGAGGCGCGTAGGCAAGGTAGTTTGCATGCCTCTCTGGGTGCGCCATGCCCCCCCTTCACCCCGCACCTCAATGTGTTCACCCAGCGGGAGGTCGGTGGGTGGGGCTGAAAGTTCCAGCCCTCTAAACACCGGGTCTCCCTGTGACCAGCCCCTCCCGAGGGTGCCTAGGGGCCCTGCCTGTGTCCATTCTGGCACTAACTCAGGTAGCTCATTATGACTAACAACCCCCCCAACACTCAGGAAATCCCAAGGGGGTTTTAGGAGCTTTGTGTCAGGAATGGGGACAAAGACCAAACCAAATATAGTTTTGTGTTATACTCCACTCACTAATTGGCTTTTACCCAGGATTGAAAAACACCACATACCAATGATACTCTCTAGTTAATGCTCGTTCTCTCTTCCCCTGAGGGCTCAGCGACCCCACCCGGAGGCTAATGGCCCCCAGTTCACAAGGCTACTAATTCCTGACCCCTGGGTGTGCTGAGGATTTGTCCTCACAATCTTTCTAAGGGGCTTAGTAGAGTGCCTGGTGCTTACTAAGTGTTCAAGAAATGATCAAGTGCGTTCATGCCTCTGTTGCTGAGGAAAGCAGCCCCAGCATCTCCCTGGCTCCTCTGTTCCCCCACTCCTCTCTGCAGTGGCTGTCCCCACCCCTCTTAGTTCCTCCAGCCACTGCTGAGGCAGAGGCCTCCTCATAGTGCCGGCATGGCTGCTGTGGCCCCGGGCTTGTCTCCCCTCTCCCCTTGTCTTGCTTGATTCCACCCCCTGCTGCAACCATGCAGCTCTGTTACAGTGCACACGGACAGGGAGCAGCAGTGCGGCTAATAGTAGCTGAGGAACGATGTCCCCACAGCTCCTGGGCATGGCATTCAAGGCCTCCTCTCTCATCCCTGCCCATGTGTCTGGTTCTCCCCGTGCTGCCATGCCCGAGCTTCCCGCCACTAAGTGCTCTTTCCTCTACCTAGAGTTCTCTTCCTGCCCTTCCGTGCCTGGCTTCCGATGGCACCTCTTCCACAAGAAGGCCCAGAGCCTCCCATACATGGAAGGGGAGGGCTGCATGGGAACAGCACGTGCATCGTCTTAGCCCCAGGCCTGTACAGGGGGCTGGGAAGAAGCAGCCGGGGCTCTGGAGTCCAGACAAGCTTGGGTTCAAATCGACTGAGAACTTAGCTGTGCGACCCGAGCTGGAGACACCCCCAGCCTCAGTTTCCTTGTCTGTAAGAACACACGTGATGGCTATTGGAGTGCTTACTTCATGCCAGGCCCTCCGGCAAGCCCCTTGCAAGGATCTTCGTGTCCAACCCCTAGCACAACCTGGGGGCAGGGGCATCAGCCCCTGAAGTGGGTCTCCAGATGAGAACACCTGCCCCGCAAGGCCGTGGTAGGGGCTAGAAAGGACTCGGTGGGCAGAGCGCAGACCAAGCCAGACTCAGCACAGACGTCGGGTCAGGGAGAGCTGATTTTTGCAGTCACCGCCGCTGCCCTATCCGGACCCTGGATGCCTCTTACCGGCTCTGCCCACCCACAGCCCGGCCTCAGCCGGGCTTGCTCCTGAGGGCCTCAGTGGCTTGTTCTGGCATGCTGGAGCCTCACTGCCTGTCCCACTGGCCCTAGGGAGAGCCTCAAATGCCTCTGCCGTGGGAGCTGGCTGGCTGGCCGGCTTGGGGGTACAAGAGCCCAGCCTCGTTGGCTTTAATGACCCCGAGGTCTCTCTTATGCTCCTGAAAGCCCCCAGGGACCCTGCTGAGGCTGGGATGCCTCCTGCAATCACACCCTTTCTGGGCTTCTCTCCCTGGCCCATCCTGCTCCCCCTTCCTCTCCGCTGCTCTCTCTTTGGGGGCAAGTCCTCTCAACTCTTGCCCCTAAGAGTGTCCCGGCTAAGGGGCTATTACTGTGCACCACCCCCGAGCTGCTGAATCAGAGTCTCAGGGGTGGGGGGGCACGGGCAGGAATCTGTATTTTTAACCAGCTCCCTGGGCGACTATGGGACCCTGTCTGGTCTGGGAAGCCCCTCTAGTCCTCACACCGGACTACCATCCAGCCTGGAGCATTAGGGTGAGCACCCTGAAGCAGGACCTGTATCTTCCTGAGCCGGGGGTGGGGGGTAGGGGGTGGGGGGGGAGGCATGCCTCCAATGAGCGCTCTGGAGCTGTGTTGTTCCTTCTTGGCTACCATCCCTTTGACAAGTGAGGTAACCACAGGCAGGAGAGGCCAGCTGACAGCCAGGTAACCGTCTCCAGCTCCTAGCCTGGGGTTCTTCCTCCCACGGCACCTCACCCCTGACAGATGGCATTGGCACTGACACCAAATATAACATGTTGACACCCAAACACATGGGCTCTGTGCCCTGTGATCTCCTCGTGGGTTCCCTGAGCAATCGAGGGCGGGCAAACAGGTACCTGCTTCTCTGGAACGTAGAGAAATAGCCTCCAGAGGCGGAAAGATTGGGAGGTGACGGTGTGAGCTTGGTGAGTATGGCTCCAGATCTCCCTGGACAGACAAAGTCACTACCCCCCATGGAAACGGAACTAGGACACCTTCTGGCTGGTGGGCAGCATGCTGCTTCTTTATCCTCTCTTTCCCCAGCACCTGTCTAACGGGTATTATTTCCATTTCACAGAAGAGGAAGTTGAGCCTCAGAGAGATTAGGTAGCGAGCTCAAGTTGTGGGCTCTGCAATTATGTCATCATTCAATTTTTTTTTTTAAAGATTTATTTATTTGACAGAGAGAGACACAGCGAGAGAGGGAGTACAAGCAGGGGGAGTGGGAGAGGGAGAAGCAGGCTTCCCGCGGAGCATGGAGCCCAATGCGGGGCTCAATCCCAGGAACCTGGGACCATGACCTGAGCTGAAGGCAGACGCTTAACGACTGAGCCACCCGGGCGCCCCTGTCATCATTCATTTATTCATTTAAAGCACCTGGCGTGTGCCAAGCGCTACGCTGGGCACCCCTCCTGAGATAGGAACCTCTAAGAGCAGGAACGGGCCTGTCTGCCTGAGAGCTTCGCATGTTGCAGGACACCACAGCCCTGGGGGCCTCTCGGCTGCTTTGCCTCGCAGGCCCGGAGGAACATGCTACGTCATCCAATTATCGTGGGAGGCACACAGTGGGGCGGTCGTAGCAAAGCTCACGGACCTGGGAGCTTTACGTACTTTGAATCTCTACCCCATCATTGGCCAGCTGCACAACCTGAGCAAGTTCCTTCTCTTAGTCTCAGCTTCCTCATCTGTGAAATTGGAACTTTTGCAAGATTTATGAAGGTAATGGATAGCACAGCGCTGGGTACCTGCGAGCCCTCGACAGGCGTCAGCGGCTAGCAGCTGCTGTTCCCAGCATCACCCTTCCAGCCCGTCCAAGCCCAGGAGGGTCCCGCTAGGTGGGAGGGCTGTTCTGGGATGAGCACGGTTTTCACTGAGCGGCAGGAAGGATGGGTCTCTCTGGAGCATGAAGACGTGGGCCTGGAGCCCTGAACCCCGAGACACCCCGTCCAGCCCTCATCAAGGCCCTGCAGTTTAAGCCATTATGGCACCAGGGTGTATTTTTACGTTCCTGTTGACCTGAAACCATTCTGAGTAAACAGAGTGGCTCTGAGGGTGGCGACCAGTCACCCACCCCACCCAGCAGCGACTTAAGAATCACAGGCTCTGTCCCGCTGAGGGGTATCAGCCCTTCCTGTTGTCCCCACAGGAAGTGCCATCTGCCTGCAACAGGGCAGGTCAGGTCGGCTCGGTCCCCAGCTGTCCTGGAAGCTGGGGTGAGGGGCAGTGAGAGCAGGGGTGGGGGGCAGGTGGTGATGAGGGAGGGGCCCTGCATGGCCAGACCAAGATAGCCTCAGAGCGCACACCTCCCCTCATGGTTACCAGGGCAAAGCCAGGGACCGTCCCCTCTCTCTGCATCCTCTGGGCTGCACCTTTCCCTCTGGGGGCCCCTGCCCTCGCCCCCATCCAAGGGTGCAGGAACATCTGTTGCACCCCGATGCCCTTCCATGGGGCCAGGTGTACTCACCTACTGACACAGTAGAATGCAATCAGTCTGAAGATGTCCTCAAACACAAGAACTGAGCCTTCCAGGTACAATACTGGGGAGAGATGACAAAAGCCTTGGATGAGTGTCCCTGCCAGACAGAAGGAGGCTCTCTGCGGGTGGGGGCTGTGCCTGCCATCTTCATGGTGGGTCTTGGCATCCCAAAGCCCCCTACACATGGGCTGCCAATCAGACTGAAGGGAAGTGGGGACTGAACTTCTATGGTGTTAATCCACTGAGATCCCGGGGGATTATTATAGCAGCTGGTGTTATCTTTAATATACAGTCATCATTTGGGGCAAAATGACACAGAAGACTCCAGATTGTAAAAGCAGAATTAAACATTTAATGGATCGGGGTCATCTCGGCCTGACGAGGAGCTGTGAGGGACCAGCAGGAGGCAAGTTGCCCAGATCTGTCTTGGCCTCCAGGAGATGCGGGGATGCCGGCCCAGGGCCACTGGCTCTTCACCCAAGAACCCTTGGGCCTATTAGAACCTTACTTGATTTGGCTGCATGGGTAACCCAAGAGTGAGGGTGACCCCGATATTTTCCAGCTCTCACAACAAAGAGGGATCAACACATTTGCCCAAGATCTCATCCCATGGTGGATATGGCTCCTTGGAGGGGTAGGGTGCTGGACTGTGCCTGAAAGGGGAACATGGTACCACACCACACCCTGCTTTGGACCCTCAGGGCAAGGGGCCCAGAGAAGCTAAGCGGTTTGGTTGAGGTCCGCTGCCCATCTTGGCTGCCACCCACCCTCATGACTCCTGTCATCCCAGGGTTCCATATGCCCAATAGGTGAGGCTCCCTGTGCTGGGGACGCGCACAGTGAACTCTCTTAGGCATCGGAGCCACTGAGAAACTGAGGGTGTCACACTTCAGTTCCAATTTCCTAAGGTTCTTCTCGCATCCGTGTGGGGGAAGGGAAGGCAGGACCTGGGTCCCAGGCATGGCTCCAACCATGAGCTCAGTTCCTCCCCCTGCAGAAGGAAGTAGCCTTTCCCACCCTAAACACGCCTGTATCTAGTTGACAGCAGGCTGTTCTGCTTTCAGAGCCCAGGACAGTATTTCACTGCATCGGTGATCTGCGAGATGGGCATACACGAACCAACATGTTTTGTTCCAATCGCTTTATTTTTATATTTGCCTTCTTTCAACATACTACACTGTGCTCAACAGTTAACATGATTTTTTTTTTTTTTTTTTTGACAGAGAGATACATAGCAAGAGGGGAACACAAGCGGGGGAGTGGGAGAGGGAGAAGCAGGCTTCCCACCGAGCAGGGAGCCCGATGTGGGGCTTGATCCCAGGACCCTGGGATCAGGACCTGAGCCGAAGGCAGACGCTTAACGACTGAGCCACCCAGGCACCCCAGTTAACATGATTTTTAAAAAGAAGTTCACATTCATCATCTATTTATGGCAAAGATGTAATGGTTTCCCATTAGGGTAGATATAAACACTTTAAAAGGGAGTTTCGTCGATTACAGGACCAGTGGTACTTGGAAAAGTCAGAAACATCAGTTCAAGGAATTAGCACCCTCTGCGAATGAATAGCGGTGGGGCGGCCCACAGCGCCACCTAGTGCTGGCATTTGGTGCCTCACTGACTCTTTCAAGAAAGTGGGCCAAGGGAGCCTGGGGCCAAAAAGACATCCTGTAGCCTCTAGAGGTAGAGAGAGCTCCATCTATAAAGTGGGATCCCTCAAGGCAGGGTTAGTGGTGATGCATGCAGGAAGCCAAGCCTAGCACACTGGGAGGCCGTGCTCAATAGTTAGCCGCTTTCGGGGCACCTGGGTGGCTCAGTCGTTAAGCGTCTGCCTTCGGCTCAGGTCATGATCCCAGGGTCCTGGGATCGAGTCCCACATCGGGCTCCCTAAGCAGGGAGCCTGCTTCTCCCTCTCCAGCTCCCCCTCTGCTTGTGTTCCCTCTCTCAGTCTGTCTCTGTCAAATAAATAAATAAATAAATAATCTTTAAGGAAAAAAAAAAAGCCACTTTCGCTTGCCATGGGGACTTTTCTGACCTTTGCAGTGCACACCTGAAACCTTTAAGATAAAGTCAGCCACTCCCCCTTCTGTGCCCCAGGCACTTTATGTAAAGCCATACCTCCTTTAAACTCAGTTTACCAACTGTCCCCTTGCTGGTCTGCAAATGGGGTGCAGGCACCAGAGCTCATTCCTTTTTGTGGCCTAGGGCCCAGGGTCTAGACATAGTGGCCCAGTCACCTTTTTACTGTTAAACTTGCGGATCTGTAAAGTCATGAGCAATGATGAAAGCTCTTGTTTGTTTCTTTAGAACCTGACCTCTTCTGCCCCAGCCCCAGGCGCCTGCCACATCCCTCCACGCTATACATACACTGATGATGTGACCTCATTTGGAAACAGGGTCTTTGCAGAGGTCATCGAGTGAACGTGCAGTCAGACTGGATTGGGGTGAACCCTACATCCCATGAATGGTGTCCTTATAAAAACACGTAAAGACGTGGGACACAAACACACAGAGAGGAGAAGCCAAGGAAAGACGCAGGCAGAGACTGGAGTGAGGTTGTCCCCGGCAGCTGGGAGAGAGGCGTGGAACGGATTCTCCCTGATCTGCAGAAAGAACCAACCCCGCCCACACCTCGATTTCAGATTTCTGGCCTCCACAAGGGCCAGAGAATCGATGTGTGTTGTTTTTGGCCCCCCAGCCTTTTGGCCCTTTGTCACAGCGGCCCTAGGAAACTCACGTGCCCGCTCATAAGCAATACTCATCCGCTGGAGCTGCTAGAAGGTGCACAGCACGCTCAGCCAGCGAGGATACAGGATTACCAAACCCTAACTTTAAACAAGTAAGCCACGGGGCGCCTGGGTGGCTCAGTTGGTTAAGCGTCTGCCTTCAGCTCAGGTCATGATCCCAGGGGTGTGGGATCGAGCCCCCGCATTGGGCTCCCTGCTCAGCGGGGAGTCTGCTTCTCCCTCTGCCTGCCACTCCCCCTGCTTGTGTTCCCTCTCTCTCTGACAAATAAATAAATTCTTAAAAAAACCAAAAAAACAAGTAAGCCAGTCATGGCGTGAGGTAGGCATGTAGCTTTGGCTTGGCATTATTATGGCTCCTCAATAGAAAATTTGTCCCTTGGAGGGGGGGCATTTTCCTCACTTTGTCCCTGTCAACGCAGTCCACATTCCACCCTCCAGGTGTTTGCTCGTGCTCTTTCCCCATGGACGAGGACCCCCTCTTTGACCTTCACTGCCTTTAGGATCCACCTTCCGCCCCAGAGCCTTTCCCGAGTATTCCGACTTCTCCCCTGGGAAAGCTGCACACAGGAGGTGCTCAAGAGAGCACACATTTTCCCAGCAGGGAAACGCCGTCTGGGTGCTCACCTTGTGATCTGAGGCTGTGAGACTGTGGGCCCACTGGGAGCAGGAACAGGTCTCACTTTCCCTGTCCCCAGCACCGCACCCAACCCTGTGCCAGGCACACATGAGGACCCCAAAAAGGACAGGTGACCCAGCCCTCTGGGGCCGGGATCAAGAGTGGACCACATTTACGGAGACAAAAGTAGGTTAGTGGTGCTTAGCACTGGGGCTTTGGGGGGAGATAGGGAGATGATATTAAAGGTATGGGTTTCTGCTTTTTTATTGTGTTAAACTATAAAAAACATATAATTTAGCTTTTTAACCATCTTAAAAAGCCACTCCCCCTTAAAAAGCCACAAAACTGCTGTGGACATGTGCGTACAAGTTTCTACGTTTCAACTTAATTCAGTAGCATTAAGTACATTCGCATTGTGCAGGATGGGGCTTCTTTTTTGAGGTGATGAAATGTTCTCGGACCTACTATGGTGAGGGATGGGCCACTGTGAACGCACCAAAAGCCACTGGTGGGTTTTTGCATCCTAAGTGGGTGAATTGTAGGATATTGAATATATTATATAAATACCTCTCAATAAAGCCATTATTTAAAAAAAAGAGAAACCCATACACCAAGAGTGGACTGAATTTCCCTGCCTATAGTATGTTTATCTGGGATTTTTATAATGAGCATATATGACTTCAGAAAGCAGAGAAACTCTAAAGCGTCTCTACATTTTTCGCTAATCTTCCAAAAGTCTCGGTAAATTTTTCTCTAAAGCTGATGGGTTGCCAGTGTCCTCTCAGCTGAGACCACTTTAGAGACCGGGCACAGCCGACAAGCCCCTGTGCCATCCACCACCAAGGGGACCACGCTGCCCCTTCCCCTGCGAAGCCAGCTTCAGAAAGAGCCTCAGGAATGCCTGGCAGGTGCTGTGCCCTTGGCAGCAGCTGGTGGCCGGGAGCCCAGCCAGGGGGCCCCCTCTCAACAAAGATGCTGGTTCCAGCTGGTCACCTTGGACAAGCGCCAGCAGCGAGCCCTCCACTGTGTACGGTCTCCGGGGTCCTCAGCTGCAGCCTCGGTGGGCACATGCCAGACCCGTCTAATGCGTTTCTCCCTCAAAGGGTAAGACAGGAGAAGGGGTCCCCGTCAGTCACACCTGGCACATCTGGAGGTGACAATAGGTGACAACGACCGGACACCACTTCTGCCTAGAGAAAAGGAAATATTTTACCTAACCACTCACCATCAAGATGGGACAGGATAGAGATGCGGGGTCCACGCACGCCGGCCCGGCCTCTAGCATTTACAACCTCAACATCAAAGTGAAATAGTCACCAAGACCAGAAAACTAGCAGAAGATTTTTTTTTTTTTTTTAAGAAATTCCATTCATTTGAGATTGGCTTTTTCCTAGCATAATTTCCTCTAGGGTCCTCCAAATTGCTGAGTGAATCAATAGCCTGATCCTTTTCACGGCTGAGTACTATTCTTTGGGTCGGGCGGACCAGTTTGCTTGGCCATTCACCCACTAAAGGGCTTCTTGGCAGTTTCCAGTTTTTAGTTACTTTTTTTTTAAAGATTTTATTTATTTAGGGGCACCTGGATGGCTCAGTCATTAAGCGTCTGCCTTCGGCTCAGGTCATGATCCCAGGGTCCTGGGATCGAGCCCCGCATCGGGCTCCCTGCTCGGCGGGAAGCCTGCTTCTCCCTCTCCCACTCC